GTGGACTTCAACTCCCAGAATTCTGGGAGTTGAAGTCCACTCATCTTAAAGTGGCCAAGTTTGGAGAACACTGCTTTATACAATCCATAAACACGCAAATGATTTTGTCAGAAGAGACAATCTAGTACCCACTTTCATTCATTTTTCAGGCAACGTAGAGCTTCCCGATGTAGGTTTGTGCTTGAACTCCAGAGCCCATTAAGGAAAAGGGTTATAGTCATTTGCCATTCAGGAGGAGCCTTTCCCCTCCAGAAGTTTTGCTTTGACATCAGTAAAAAGAAGGTTGCCTATTTGGCAGCTACTGGCACTGCAGAGGTCTATGCTTGTACAGTACATGCCAATGCTTCCCAAACCCTGCGTGATCAGAACTGGCAGTGCGCAGCTGGGCTCTCCTACTTAATAAGCCTTGTTGCAGCCTAAGAAAGCCACAGTGCTAGCACTGCCTGCTAAATCATGGTTTATAAAACCATGGTTCCTGATTAAACCCAGTTGCCTGGATTTGCACGACATATTGACTGGGTTCAGCATCATATTAGAGTTGGATAAAAAAAGAGAATGAGAATTTGGGGTTCTGTGCATTGTGGGAATCCAGACATTGTCTTAGTATATTATGTGAATCAGACCATCTCCTAAAGCTATCATATGATTTATTGGGCAAACCATATTATGCGAACACAGGAATTGTGTTTTATTAATCCAGGTTTAGAATGTAGCAGACTGTATGACCCTGGCCACTAAGCTAAAAATTGGTCAACTGCATTTCAGCTTTGTATATCTCCTTTTTATCTTCTTCCTTTTTAGTGATCCTGATGCTAAGGATCTTACACTCTTCCCTGGGTTTCAGCACAACATAAGGAGAGAAACCAATATATTTTCCTCACTCTTCAGTTCTATTCTCTTTAGTTCTAGTTCTATATCTCATAACATTCTTATTGAATTAACCCATTTTCCAGTATGTACAACCCCTTTGACAATAAACTCACCCAAATGGGCATAACCCTTACCCTGTGGACACCCCTGGAATCCCTCCTAACATTTGGAGTTAACTGACACTCACACCAAGGAGGAGGCAATTTGCAATCCTTACTCATTACTTTTGAATTTTGTGGTGCTCTTCCAATTAGAGAATGATCAGACTTCAAAGATAGTCTAAGGCAAGAAAATCAAACGGAAATTACAACCAAGCAATTCTTATTAGAAGAAAAGCAAATATATGATAGTGCCTAAAATACTTACAGCAGCTGTACAATGGATTCAATTTTTTAATGTTGGATTCACTGAAATCCATTTCCTGCCCATCCACATTCATGGAGGTTGTTATGTTGGTTATTACGGTTGGCTCTATACACTTCCTGAAGGCAGTTTTACGATAGTGCATTATAGAGATATAATCATAAGGGACATTCAGAGAATCTGTTACCTTATCATCATATTTCTTGAAACACTGTTCTTTACCCGATAATAAATACATTAAAAATTAGAGGTATTTTTTCCAGAGAGTTTCTATTAAACCATTTTCAAACAAACTAACATAAAATAAAGTAAAATTTTAAAAAAATGAACACTTTACCATACCTAAAAAGAAAAGGAAACAAAAATATTATACAAGAAAACGTATTAAAAATCAATCCAACAAATAAGAAAAAATATATATACTTACAACTATAAGTTCACCTGATCTTGTAATTCTTAAAAACACACAAACAAACCCCAAGCTTTCAATGTTGACCAAGCCTGTACAAGAATTTTTTTCAAAGGGAAAAATAATGTGACATTTTCTGATTAACTGAATATATAATTTTTTCAAAAATTGCTAAGTCCCTGAAATCTAGTCCTTTATATTTGGAATTATAGTATTTTCCCATCTCCTAAGGATCATTCTTTTTGCTATTATTAGAACACAAAAAACCCATATTTGTTCTGAACATGTTATTCCAAATAGTTGGCATACAATTCAGTAAAACATATATGTCTTTAAAAACCAGAATTTTCTCAATAATTCGACCAACATATTATATAACCTTACTCCAAAAGGAGTGTAAGGAAGAGCATGACCATAACATATGAGTTAAAGTGTCCTCAAATTTCTTGCAATGCCAACATAAAATAATCATTAGTCTATCCTTTATGAAGCATCCTAGATGGTGTCCAGTAGATATGAAAAACAATCTTTTGATGGATTAATTTCAACTTTAAGTCACAGGACATATACTTAGTGTTCTTCACAACTTGAGTTCAGTGGTTGAAAAGAACTGGAGTTATACATATTTTAAACTGTTTCTTTAGCATGTGACATAAAAAAAGTAAGTTTGGATTCTGAGATTGAATTCTTCAGTATTAATAACATATCAGGTATTTTGGAAGCTGTTAAAGCATCAGATCCATAGTGAGTTGTCAAAGCATGTTTTAACTGGATATAGCTCCATGTTTGCATTGCTGGTAAAGAAAATTCTGTTTGCAGTTGCTAAAATAAATTAAAAATTAGAGCTATGCAAAACAACTCAAATTTTAAAAGGTTTGAGCTTGACACGCAGTTTAAATCTTGAAAGAAAGACACTGAATTTGAAATGGGCAACTCCAATCTAAGCAGGATGTTTCAAGCTGGGAATTCTTCCAGGAAAGATAGAAGCACTTGTTTTGAATTCAAAACAGATCATTTGGATCTCAAAATATATTGAATTTGAAGCCTTTTGCACACCTCTATTAAAAACTATAGCAGAATATGGCCTCTAGGACAACAGTTTGTGATTAGAAACTCTTCCTTCCTACCTCCAATTTCAGAAAGCTCCAAACAGAGATATAACAGGGAACAGGCTAAAGGGAATTATATCCACCATCCCTGAACTAAACATGTAAAAACACTTGATTTGTTTAACCTGATCATCTGCCTCTTTATTCCATTCTCAAGCAGCTCCTTAGTAGCTAGTAGCTTTTCTATAGTTAAGTGTAACATCCAAACTCAGAATGCAGTTAGTACTAATCAAAATTTGAAACTATGATTAATTGTAAGTTAAAATAACTGTTAATTGGAATAGTAGGCTTTAATCATAGAAAAAGATATCAACTATGATTCAGGAGTCACATTAACACTTGGGGAAGGATGCAATGTGAACATTCATGTTAATCAGCTGGAATGGCTTAACGGGTTGTACCAACTCTAACTTTAGACCATATACTTTATTTCTAAGCTCTTGGCACACTGTGACAAATTCCTATGGTTTAGTGAGATTTTTCAGAAGATTATAACATATTTTCTTTGGAATTTTAATTCCTAAATGAGAGGACCATTGCTCTTGAAAATACTAAAATACTAAACGACACACAACCTTGGGGTGAATGCAAACCAGGGTGTTCACACAGTGAGCACACATTTGGAGAAAATGAATACAGCCTTTGGGGCACCATTCAGCAATAATAACTCAAGGTCATCATCTATTTATAACTGTATTAATTCCAATCCTTTAAAAGGGATTTGAATTTTGACATTAGGCAGGTGCATGATTGAGGGTGGGTCAACTGATGTCTACTCAGTGACTGCTAATTCTTTGGTTTCCTGATTCATGGAGGATCTGTTGAATGAGATACCCAGTAGGCTTTAGAGATACATTCTGTCTACTGAGGAGAGGGACAGGTATAAAGTTGGCAGTCTTCCTCAATTTGGAGGCCTCTGGATATGCTGGAATGCATTTCTAATAATCTCAGATTGCACATCCCTGAACATAGGTTTACTGCCTAGGAATGATGGGATATTCAGCACATCCAGAGGATGACAGACTGCATAAGGATAGTGTGAAGAAACACTTATGAAAAGAGACCTGAAGATTTATAGATGACATTTGGTGAAATTTGGAATGCAGTCAGGAAGATGTTCTGGTTGCTGCACATTTATAAATAATAAAACTCAGGCCATAAACACGCTAGTCTCCAGTGCTCCTTCCCCACAGTTAAAAAAAACTCAACATGATAATATTGCCCCTTGCTATTCAGAAATTAAGGGATCAGTGGCATGACCCAGCATTTAGTCACAAGAGAAACTATGAATACAAATTCAGTGTTATTCAAAGAAAAGAGATGAGAACCATCTTTAACTCTAATTGTGACCTAGTCATGCCAATCATATCGCGCATGCCGAAATCCCAGCACATGAAGAAATTCATATTCAATTGTCCCAAGCTGGTCACAGTTTCTTCCAATGGAGAGTTTTTGCCCCTCCGTTTGCTGGTTTCCTGCATAGGACTAGCAGCTAATAAAGAACTCAGAAAACAAACAACACTGCACTCCATCCAGAATAAACCACCCTAATCCTGCAAGGCAGCACCATGCCTTAAGCTTGCTTCTTTGCAGATTCTCTTGCTGGAGTATGAGACACGTAGACAAAATAAGGCTTACCATATTTTCTAGCAAAGAAAAGACCTGGACAAAGATCACGCTCAGTGGGCTTATTCTGGCAAAGGGAGGGAGCATGTGTGTTAGTGCCCTTTCAAAGCGCACTTCACCTTCCTCACTTTGCGCAGACAAAAGGGGAGTGAGTTAAGAGAGAAAGCGAAGCCCCTGTTCTCCCAGGCACCAGACCCAGGCAAAGGGAGAAGGAGTGGCTCTGACAGGGGGTGTTCCCCCACTGTAGGTCTGTACAACCGAGTCTCTGAGAATCACTTGTAAACTGGCCGGGATGCCTGGACTGGAGCTCAAAACCAAGATAATCCTAGTCATAAGATAAACCTAACTGGGATGCCTTCCTAGGGCTGTCCAAGATATTTTGCTGCCTGTGGCTGAGCAGCAAATGACCTTTCCTCTAATACTGATCATTGTAGAAAAATGAACTGGCTCGTGTCCAAAGAGTAAGTACTGTAACATTTCAGGGTTTGAAGGGACCTGCATATTTTACCAAAGAAACAGGGACTGATTTGTTGCTTTCTGCCAATAAATTGTCTTCTTGGCAGCTGTCTCCGTAGGTTACTTCTACTTTATTAAATGCACGATAGTTCCCCACTGAGCCTCAGCAGATGCCTGGTGATGCTCATTCCTTTGATGCAAAGCTTGATTCAGAGACTTCTAAAGTCAGAGCCACTGGAAGGTTTGGAAGTGACATAACTCAACTACATTTGCTATCTGTTTCCGCACCCTCATCCTGCCACCATCTTGCTCTTTAGAACAGTGACTGTAAGGCAGCAGCAAGTGTAATTTCACATAGCGATAAGACATCTAGCAACAGTTCCTAAAACAATCAGCTTGTGCAGTCTGCCCCATCTTCACAAAAGACCAAGCTTCCTCCTCTTTGCATCAAAGAAGCACAAGAAAATGAGTCAGTATTGCCATCTTGGATTTCCTATACATAAGTTTCTCATTTGGAAGTAGAGCACTGGTGGAAATTCTTGTGCTGTAACCTTGACCTTCTTTCTATGAAATGTTGCTAATCAGAGCTCTGAGGGATGTGGTCTTTGAATTCACTGTTTCAATTCTAGATTTCTTGTAAGGAAATCTGACAGTACTTGCTTAGAAATATGAGTAGATGCATGGCAATCTATATGTATGTAATTACACCCTGTGCAGGTTTCTAGTTATAGTGTAGCATATACACAAACAGGCCTTTGCACTGACCATAGGACAAGTGAGGATTAAAAATGCTGTGGAGCTACATTTCTCCAGTTTTGGTTCTTATTCTCTGAAATCCAATGTAGGAGCTTTTTTGTAAAGAAAATGCAATATTACTACTTCCTCCTCTACGCAGCACATATACAAAAAATATTCTCAGATACAGAGGAACAAAGGTAATCCAGGTTGCTGTTAATTACAAAATTATTATACAGATTTCTCATTGTAAGAACAATTTTAAGTAGCTTTCATGCATCTACTAATTTTGTCTCCTTTGAGACAAAGGAATGTGGCCAGGGATGGAGATGATGAACTCCCACATGGATTCTCTTTCTGATTTTTATATTGATGGTAGGATGAAAAGTTTAAAAAAACATCCTGGAAGAAGTGACAAAGAAATTCAGTAAAGTTGCCAAGAAAACTATGGATTGTTGAAGGCTTTCACGGCCGGCATACAATGACTGGTGTGGGTCTCCCGGGCTGTGTGGCCGTGTTCTGGAAGTTTTGTTTCCTGACGTT